GGAAGAAGAGAGAGAGCGAGAGGCAGAACATAGTGCGATCCCCTCGACAGGGAGAGGGAAGAGGGAAGAGGGAAGAGGGAAGAGGAAAGAGGAAGAGGAAGACGAATGTCCAAAGAAGTCCGGAAGGTACAAGGGATAGGGGAGGAAGAAGAGAGCGGTTGTACATAATGCGATCCCCTCCACAGAAAAGCAAGCTATGTGGCACCCCCTTGAAGGTCAGCGGAAGAGGGGAAGAGGAAGACAAAAGTCAAACATGGTGTGGGGGGAAGATGGATAGGGAGAAGAAGGGAAAAAAAAAGATGAAACATGGTGTGCTTCTTCTCCACAGAAAAAGCACACTATGTGCCGCCCCTCTGGATTAACGAGGAAAACCGTCCAACACAGTGCAGTCCCCCCAAAGGAAAAGGCACACTATGTGGCACCCCCTTTGGAAAGAAGGGCAAAGAGGAAGAAGCAAGGAGGAAGAGAAAGGTGAAAAATAATATACCCCACTCCGAAGAAAATCACACTGAGCATTAGAAGAGGGAGAACTTCGCCTTCCCACACATTTACTCCTCTTCCAGAAGAGAGGAAGAGGGAGATCCGAAGAGGCAAAGAGAGGGGCAGTGGAAGATGAAAGCCAAACATGGTGTAGAGGGAAGACAAAAAGGGAGAAGAAAAAAAACATCACACATGGTTCGCTCCTCTCCAGAGAAAACAAGACCCACTTTGTGCCACCCCTCTGGATGGAAGAGCAAGAGGAAGAGAAACCGCCGAACATAACGTGGTTAACCGCCCCCAAGGGAAGGAGGGCACAATATGTGTCACCCCTTTGCAGGGAAGAGGAAAGAGGATGAGCAAGAGGAAGAGCAAGCGGACAAGAGGACGAGGACGAGGACGAGGACGAGGAAGATGAAGACGAAGACGAAGACGAAGAGAAGTGTCGTCGAACATAATATACTCCCATCCAAACAAAATCACACTGAGCATTGGAGGAAGATGGACTTCCTCTCTCCCTCCGAACTTACTCCACGATGGTACCATGCCAAGGAGAACTCAGAGATCCCGTAGTAAGAATTGTCCTGTGCGGCCCCCAAAAAAATGGACAGCCATGAGCTGTTGAAAATACGGACCCGTGTTCGAATCCAGATGATGGAACTTGATTAGTAAAGTTGTAAAACCAACTTAAAAAAAAAAAAAAAAAAAAAAAAAAGAATTGTCCTGTGCGGAGGGATAAAAAGAAAAGGAGAAAGATCAAACATGGTGTACTCCTCTCCACAGCAAAAGCAGCCTATGTGCCAGCGCTCTGGAAGAAGAAGAAGAAGAAGAAGAAGAAGAAGAAGAAGAAGAAGAATAGAAAAGGTCGAACATAATGCGATTCCTGCCCAACAATCGCATTAGCTGGAGCCGCTGTAGGTGGGTATTGTTGGAAACGTGATTACTTCTTTGATTTATTCTGTTGCACGGAAAAATTCTTCATTGGCGGAGCAACTATATGGTTATGGTGCGCCGCGCGTAAGAGGACACATGAAGTGTTGCGCCCTCATCAACATATTCTCCGGGGGCTGGTATGTATGGGCTTTAGGGTATATCTGTATTCAGTTTTGCCATATTTTTTGGACCAGTAACGAAAAAGTTGGAAAAAACACCGAAGTCGGAGAAAAATTTGGCAAACTCCGAAAGCTACTCCGAATAGCGTTTTATCGTGCTTTCTAGGTGTTTTTTGTTTTTTTTTTTTTGTTTTTTTTTAATAATGTTTGTATTATGAGCCTGCATTGGTTGTTCGCAAAATTTCCGATGACATTGCTTGTGGCACTCCGCTACAAAACCCCGAATTTTTGGCCTTCCGTTAACCATCTCAACTTTCAGCCCAGATTCATCGGTAATGACCAGGTGTTCTATTCCGCTGAAGACGGTAGGGCTGAATTCTTTCAGGGCAAGATGGTGAAGAGAAAGGGCCTCGCTCTACCACTCGCTCGCCAAATGTGACAAAGTCTAAAACGACGATAAATTGGCTAGTGTACCTTTCCACCTTGTAGTTGCATGCAGGTATGCTTGCGATCTTATATTTTATTTGGTGAGCAATTGCAAGGAGGCCCAATTGCTAAATTAAATCACAATCATTACGAGGAAAGCAAGATTGACCACTCACCCCTTGAAGGAAGTGAAACTTTTCGGTTGGAAATCCGACTTCCGCGGCCGTTGCAAATGCATATTCCCTCATTGATGCATTCGGATCGACGCCGACAATGTGAAACTCCTTTCCCAGCTCAGCGTAGTATCTCAGATTTTGTCCGGGCCCAACACCTAGGTCCAGTATCTCCAGGCGGTCATCAAGGGCGTTCAGCTTCGGAAACAACTCCTTCCTATATTCCGCCAACTTTTCGCAAAAAAAAAAAGACAGAACAAAAAAGCACACAATTGCCAGGAAAAAAAGGAAAAAGAAACGTTAATAAAGAGAAAGAAAAGGAGTGCCGCAAGGGCAAGGCTGTTTTTTTTCTTACTCTTCCCTTCTTTTCCTCGTGCTTGCTGGTAATCCGCAACTGGACTGACAGCCCCCAGCATAGAAGGGGCTTTGTCTTGTTTCAATTAAAAAAAAAAAGAAAGGAAAAGAGGACCACCCACACAAATTTCTTAGTAAAAAAATAATAAAAATAAATAAATAAATAAAAAAATCTTAGTAAGATCTGGCAGTGCATACCATGTTCTCATCTTCAACAGATTTTTCAGCATGTGCACCTTAAATCAGGATTGACAGCTTGAAAGCTCTTTTCCTTTTTTTTTTTTCTTTTTTTTTTTAATTTGGACTATTTCTCGATTTATGCGTGTCATCCTTGCGCAGGGGCCATGCTAATCTTCTCTGTATCGTTCCAATTTTAACGGAAGTCCCAAAGGACATCTTTTCCTTTTCCCCCATACCTCGAAAGTTAAAAAAAGATACCCAACCTCCAACTGGAAACATTAAAAAAAAAAAGAAAAAAAAAAAGAAGAAAAGAAAAGAAGAGAAAGAAAGAAAGTTGAATAAAGAAGGGGTAGTCCTTAACCTCCTTGCATCAATCGACTTACAATTAGCATTAAAAAAATTCAAACTCGAGGCCTGAAGAGGGAGGCATTGCTCCCAATTATGCTTTTTGTAAAGTGATGTTATTTGTACGCTGGACCCGCTTTGCAGCAGGTGCAGCACGCCACCACTAGACTGGAGCCGCCCTTAGGATAGATAGGAGTGCATGCTCATATCATCACTCCTAGCTGTTGCCGAGGGTGTTTAATTATTAAAAAAAAAAAAAAAAAAAAAGGACGGTACATGTGTGTGCACATTCAGGCACACATCTTGAAAGTGGGGAACCCTGTGCAGACTTTTCGTGTAGAAAATTGTGAGGTTACCACTCTCTGTGAACAGCTGCTCCTCCTCGGCGATGGAGGCCCAGCGGTCAAAGTCAACCCGCTGGTCAGCCATGGCTGCAGATCAGATGCACATCATTGGTTTGTCTGCAGGTATCCAGAAGAATCTGGTCCAAGTGGGGACACACGGGAAATCTGCAACTGTGCAGCATCCAGGGCATTGGCTTCCGATCGATGTAGGCCGTCGACCCCAGCAGACCAGAGGCTGGTCAATGTGAATCAACACTATACGTTGACCCAGCCCCTGCTTGAAGATCATTCTTCCTTGTGCATTCAGCCTTGCGCTGGCTTGTTGCTGGTGTGACGACGCAAGGTTGCTGGAGCTTTATGCTGCCGCCAGATTCTGAGTGTGGGCGCCAGCCAGCCTTAAGGGAGATTAATAGATTATGCTGTCGTGGCCATAGCCACATTGATGTGGACATTGATAGGAGTGTGGACGAGGAGGAGCAGGAGGATCTGGGATGTGAGATTGATGTGCGACGTGCATGATGCGGGGAAGCTTACCTAGACTTACCTGTGACGTCGTGCGCGCTTCGCTGATCGTCTCCAAGAAGGAGATCTTCGCCATCCTCCTTGATTGCTGCTGACATGGCGAGAGAGCGAAGACGGGCGCCCTGTCGTGACCTGTTCATTGTATAGGTCAGCTGTCATCAGAAGAGAGCGGTATTGCTGACGTGGAAGTGGGCTAGGGGAGGGACTATTGCTCTTGTGGGAACTCTCCTCTTCCTCGTCTCTGTCTCTCCTCCCCCTTCTCTCACTCTCGTCTCTGAGGTTCGCGACCTTGAGAGATGTGGCATACTGATACCACACCAACCCCAGTAAGGGCCCAGTTCTGTAGTAGGCATGGGTTAGGCCTAGGTACCGGGTCACGACGGTCCCAGCTAGGTCCAGGTAGGCCTAGGAACCGTCGGTTCAGACTAGAGTCCGGTAGGCCTAGTTTAGACCCCACCAGACCCAACGGCTAGTTTCGGTTAGGCCAGGTACCGGTCCATCGGTAGGACCGGCCGGCGGCACAGTTTAGGCGCCACTTTACTTTCAGATTTCGGAATCGGATCTGAACCGTTGGGGCTGATCAACGGTCCAGACCCGAAGGCCCATCGCTATATCAGCTGAGTACCAGCCTCAGTGAGAGAGGTTAGTCTACAAGATTAGTGCAGCATTTCGGCGTTGGCATGAGCAGAGCAGCAGGGAGAAGTAGCTCAGCCAAGAGAAGGATTAGCGCACCAGCAGAGTAGAGCCGGCCCTCTGGCTCAGTCCGC